GTACAGTAAAGATAACTTCAAGCAAAAGTTTAAATATTTTTAAGTATATTTTTAATGCAGTAAAAAAATGTATCTTAGGCTCTGTTGTCACATGTATAGTATCATTGGTTTCCATTTAGTTTGATTATTAACTTCCTTGAGGTTCATGATGTCACAGTAAGACGTGACTTCAAGTGGAGGGGTTCTGTGTTCTGGATGGATTTTCTGTGTTTTGTATTATTGACCATGATCAACAAAGTCCATCATGTAGTTCTGTGTCTTAGCACCAAGTAGTAGGAATTGTTACACCGTAGGAGTGAATTCATTGGTGCCTACTTTCAGTCCCAGGTTTACTGAGCGTTCTATGGAAACATTGAGCTTCATTATGAAACAGAGCCTCATTAAAAACTGATGTTTTTAACTGTTGGAGCTTTTTGGTTCAGATGACCTGAAAGCAGAAGTTGACGAGGTTGAAATGTAACATTTATGTTAATCACTCGCTCCTCTCCTCTGTGATCCAACAGAATTCCATGGATCTGTGCAGAATAGCAGCGATGGGACATTCCTTCGGGGGGGCGACAGTGATCGAAACTCTGTGCAAAGACGTCAACTTCAAGTACGTGGAATAACAAAGGTTTCTTCCAGCATCGTGTCCTCTCACTGGGGAGAAGCAGGGAAACTAACCAACTGTCAATTATTAAGAAAGAAAACACTTAAGTTGGATATAAAAAACCTGAATAACAATTCTGTCAGATTTAGAGAGCTGCAAGAAGAGTGGATGTTTAGAACTTAGAAGAAAAAAAAGATCTGTACCAAATCTTGAGTCACGTGTCATAAGTATTCAAAAGAATCGAGACAATCAATCCTAGTTTTGGATGTTGTTTTTTTATTTTAGAACTCTGTAACTCTCTGAAATCAGGTGTGGTGTAGCGCTGGACGCCTGGATGTTTCCTTTAGATTACGAAATCTTTCCTCGAGTGAGGCAGCCGATCTTCTTCATCAACTCGGAGAAATTCCAGTGGGCGGGGAACATCAGCCGCATGAGGAAGCTGGACTCAGCCGTCATCCAGAGGAAGATGATCACTATCAGGTACATTGGACACGACTGAGGTGGCTGGCAGTGTGTGATTCGGTTAAAATAAATCTGTTTGCTCCGTTTCTCCCAGAGGGACAGTCCACCAGAGTTTCCCGGACTTCACCTTCCTGACGGGAAACTGGATCGGTAAACTGATGAAGCTGAAGGGAGAGATCGACCCAGAGATCGCCATTGACCTCTCCAACAAAGCAACACTGGCCTTTCTGGAACGCCATCTCGGTAAGAGAAATAACGAGCTCACAATTTGCCGATTTTGTTGAAGGGGATATGCTTATTTTTTAATTCTGTTTTTTTTTGGCAGGTCTACAGAAGAACTTTAACCAATGGGAGGGTCTGATTGACGGGGAGGATGAAAACCTCATTCCAGGAACTAATATCACCGTGCTTCAGTCTCCCCTCTGACCTGCCACTGTGCCTCATATGCTGCAGGGGAACCTGGGTGCTCAACTGTGGATCGCTTCGAAAATGTCAAGACTTGGCATTTTAATCTAAAATGGTAACATTTTGGAGAAGAATGAAGAGGAAAGGCAATCTCTACCTCATCAGCAGGAAAGATGAGTTTTTCTTGAAAGATTTAAACACACAGTGTAGCAGTGTTTGTTTTATGACGCCTGGATGTTGCGCACAAGCACCTCAACACTTATTTTTTCAATGTTGGGGAAATCTTTATTATTCCATTACCAGCAATTTCCTGGAAAAGTCATTTTAATCATTTTAATCTTTGAGTGTAAATAAATCAAACCTAGAGAAATATTGTTATTCAGCATCTCTGTGAACACAGGATCTTCCAGAAGCTACTCTGATTGCTGTGTGAATGTGATAAAGCCTAAAGTGAAAATCATACGAGTTGAAGAAAAAAGAAAGACTGAATTAAGATGCTTTAAAACTAAATGTTTCCATGATTTGATACAAGTTAAACATTAGAAGTGTACAAACACTAAGGCTGCATTTAAAAACCATGTGTGCCAGAATAGTACTGTCTAATGAAATGTAACAGCCTTCTACTTTTTTTACAATCATTGTCTAAATTTGTATATAAGACAAATCCAATAAATACGGTTTGTATACAAAAACATCATCTTAAATGTAACTCCATCTTTTGAGTTTGCCTTTTTAAAGTTTTGACACCAGAAACTTCGAAACAGGATTTAAGGGTAATTCTTAAAGGTTCAGTGTAGAATTTATTTACATCTAGTGGTGGAATTGCATGTTGCAGCGGAACATTCCTCACCTCCCCCTCCCCTTCCAACCATGAGAGAACCTGTGGTGAACTTCAGTTGTCATTAAAACTGAAAAAGGTGTTTAGTCTGGACTACAGTAAAAAGACATGGCAGCTTCCGTAGAGAGGACCTGCTCCTGATGTAAATATAAAGTATTTAAATATAAACGCCCATTCTAGGGTAGAGAAAACAACAATTTGTACAATTTAGATGAAACACACTGGTGAATTACACTTGAGTATCCTATATAACAGTTGAACCAAAAATGAATAATCAAACTTGGCCTATTTACAGAATTAAAGGTCATCTTGCCTTTTTCCAACCTAGTAACTTTATAACCTTCGGTTTCCCTCCTGTGCGCACAAACTTCGGCAGATCTAGTTTCAGGTATTAACGTGTAGTTAAAACAGAATGAGCTACAATCCACCCTCAAACTACAGTCCCTCGTTCATCTTTATCTGATGTCTTCCACAATTCTTATGATTGTTATTGATTCCCTGTGGTGTTTGTTTCTTCCCAGGCCTTAATTTCAAGGAGACTTCCTGTTTGAACAAATATTAAATAAATAAATAAAATACGCACGAGTGGCAGCAGCTGTGAGTTAGACACATAAATTCTACATTTTCAACCTTCACCGACTAGTCCCGTCTTCATTTGTTTTGGATTTAAACTAAATATTGTATCACGTTTAGACTAGATAAAAAATGAAGACGTGTCATGTCACCACACAACAGGAGTAGGTGGCTGATTTGAAAAAATAAACATCACATCCTTAGATCTGTAATGATATTTATTGAACTGAAATGTCTCATTAACACATGCATGTATCCACAACACAGAAAACTTTGGTTGCATTCTTTTAAAAATAACATTACACGTCACAACCTTTCAAACCAGTTTTATCTTCACAGAAAGATTCAATACTTTCATGGCAGTTTCTTTCTTTTTCCAATCAGAACAGATCTATAACACAAAAGAGCTCCCGGTAAACTGGGTGAGCACAAAGATAATGACAACACATTTTTTGAAGAGGCACTTTAAATCAGATGCCTGTTTTTCAAAAGGAACAATGTAAAAGGAAAAAAGGAAAATGACTCAATAAATCAACATTGCCATTCCACACCAAGAACAAACGCAACAAAGAAAAGAGAACTTGTTTCATGCAACTGAAGCATCTTTGGACAATGAACTTAGTTTCGAAGTGTCTCGCGGGGACACTTAAAGTAATTGGAGGGCGGTTACTCCGGCCTCTGCTCAACAGGCGGATCATCAGCAGAACCGTCACGGATGATCAGAGAGAGATGAGTCACCTTTGACAGCTGAAAGTCTGAGGGGGAAGAAAAAACACCTCACACTGTGATGAACTGGGACACTGAAGAAAAAGAGCATAATTATAATTATATCATGATTGCAACAATTCACAAACAGTGGCTTCAACTGTATCCATGTTGTCAATGACTTATCATTACATCATGAGCAAGAAGTATTTAAGTAAATCTGTAGCATCACATTTTGAAATCCCCTCTGAATTCAACCTGTTTTTTTAAAATAACTACATCCATCATCAGTGGGGTGAGGATAAGAATCATTCGTGTTATCCTGGAAAAATAAATTTTTTAAACATTTGTCCTGTTCAGCTTCTCAATCACAGTTATTGTTAGTTCTGTTGCTCTCACAGTGCAATGAGGTTAACTGTTGAGGTTGTCCCTCACTGGACTGACTGAAAACCTTTTGCTGGTTGATGCTGGTTTGACATAAGCCACACTGCTGGCCATAAAAAAAAAAAGCCTCTACAAGAGCTGGACCAATGTTATATTGACTGATACATATATATTAATATTAAAAACAATGCCAATGATCCTCAAGATGCTGTTATCAAGCCCTAATGACAAAGAAATGTATGATATGAAAAATAAGCACAGATAATGTTTGTGAAAGGCTCATATGAGCTGATTTTTTATCTAATAACAAATCCTTCATGCTCTGGATTTTAATCGACCGTATCTAATCAACACTTTATAATGTCAGGGAATTTAAAGCTCAAAAACAAATGCACATTTTACTTAAAAACAACTTCTGCCCTGTAAACTTTCTAATAGAATGAACTCAATCATCGTAAGTCATAATGTCTTCTCTGAACCTGTTTGTTCGGGGGGTGAAAGCACCAGCTGCTCAGTCTCTGTTTCAGTCTGTTGGCGTTGATCTGAGAGAACAAGGAGACATCAGTATAATGAGACCTACAGACAACGAGGACATTCTCTACATGAAAGTACTGGGATTATTTTTACTGTCAAACATGATCATCTTTATTAAATCAAGACAAATCACAGATGGTAGAGAGCAAACTTGTTCGGCCTTTTGATAAATATTTGCACGTGTTGTTGATCATTGAGTCTGATACCTCTGCAGACGTCCGTCAAACAGCTCTCTCCCACAAAACTGCTCATCTCATCATCCAGGTTACTCTGAAGAGAAATAACAACATGCACTTGTCACATGTGATGACTTGCTGTATAATGTGGTGTGTTGTGTTGACTAATCTCTAATACCATGTCTTGACAGAAGCTTTGTGGCTTTGTGTCACATGACAGAGCTGCAACCACAGAGACAGGTGAGTAGGCGTTATCACATTTGTACAAATTGGAAGTGCGAGACAAGCACGATTGTTCAAATAAAAAAAAAACAATGGACAAATCAAAATAAATAATAAAGATGAAAAACGCAAACCAGGGAGTTTGTCTTCATGAAGATCTGAGGTCTCGTCTTCAGTCATGGAGTTATCCTAAACACAGACAAGAACAGAGCGTTGTAATACAGACCACAGCCCTGTTATACAGCTTATCCTATTGAGGGGGGAGCTGGAGTCAGCTAACATTGAGCAGGGGTACATCATGGACAGGTTGCCAGTGTATCACAGAGCCAACATACAGACACAAACAGCCATTCAATCACATACAGTCAATTTAAGTCAGCATGTCTTTACACTGTGGGAGGAAGCTGGAGTACCTGAAAAAAGCAGATGCAAATTCAACATGCTAATATCCGAAGCCAAAGATCCTTAAAATAAGAGGATAAACAATCAATTCTGGGCCGAATGCAATTATTCAATGTTGCTTTTAACACACAACAGGCACAAAAATGAAAAACATTGAAATCTGACACACACAGGAGACACAGAAAATGTCCAGAGAGTTTGTGGTGATTACGGGATCTTCGCAGTGGAATTAATAAGTCACCTCCTGTCTGTCTGCTGCACTCGGCAGCTCCACCTCTCGCCTAAATACTGCAGAGGATTTGTTGCTGTTGTGAACTTTTCAGTACAGAAAAACCTCCCGCTGCAAATTGTGGGTAAAGTCCAGACCAAATTCTGATGGCTGTGTCTCCTATCAGTCTAAAGAGCATAAAGGAGATACCAGGAGACTGACCATTACAAGAGGAGCTGGACAGGGCCACAGAAGGGCATTAACCCAGCAGCAGGTCCGGTATCTGCTCCTTTGAGAGAGGAGGACCAGAAGGAGCACTGCCAGCGCACTACAGAATTACCTCCCGCAAGTTACTGGTGCGCATGTTTCTGACCAAACTGCCAGGAGCAGACTCCGTGAGCGCGGCATGAGGGACCAGAGTCCTCTAGTGGGACCTGAGCTCACAGCCCAGCACCGTGCAGCTCGATTGGCAATCAGTGAACACCAGAATGGGCGGGCATTGATGCCCCGTTCTCTTCACAGGTGAGAGCAGGTTCACACTGAGCACATGTGACAGGCGTGAAAGAGTCTGGAGATGCTGTGGTGAACCTCATGGTGCCTGTAACATGATCCATGTCCTCCTCTGGAGCTGCGTTGGATCACAGCTGATTTAGGCTAAAAACATGACCTGGTTCCTTGTCGATTTGGTATAGGTGTTTTGGAACCTTAAATCCACTGACATTATATACTGTTAATTAGATACAGTCGATTAAAATCTAGGGCCTGAATAATTTCTTATTAGATAAACTCATTTACACACAAGAGTTTAAAATCTTTGGGTGAACTATCCCTTCAAGTGCATCTTAAAAACTCCAGACTAGCCAACTGTTTTCAGAGTAAATGATCCAGTTCATTCTCCTGCAGATAACTTGGTCTTTAACACGCAGTGTGAGGAGTGGTTTGTCAACCTTGAAGGAAGTAAACTTGTTTTTTAAACAAAGGAACACTGAGAGCTGAAGGTGTGGTTGCCGTCAAATGGGATCGGTATGTTGGCACCAAACCGTGTGGAGGGGCCAAAGGCTCAGTGGGTTTTTTATAACGGCTCTACACACACAACTGATACACAGCTGTGACAGTCGTGAATGTGGTCGGACACCAAGTGATGCTGATAAACATGTATTCTCTTGAAAAAAGAGATGGCTCCACTTTACCTGCAAGGGCACGACCTCATCCTGGAGAGAAACATTTCCACTGGCCATTTCATGCACTGAGGGAGCTCCTGAACAGGAAATCACAATCATTCACTGTATCATAACAGAAGACATGTTTACATGGACACCTATATCAGGATATGAACGCGATTCAGTCTGAATAAGACAATGCCATGCAAACATCATTTCCTGATTATCATAACCTGAATGAGGTCATACTCTGCATAAGCAATAATCGGAGTAAGACATGTGGAGCTAGTCAACTTGTACAGACATGTATCTGTCTAACTCGCATTACAACGTCCTGCTGGAAGTTTTCACAGCATTTAATGACATCGACATACAGCAGCTACCAAATGCTTGATAGGGTTCAAGTGTAAACAAGTGGTAGGACATAATGCAGACTATGGAAAAGTGCTGTCCTTGTAAACAGTCACTGTGAGGACACAGCAGGACATAACAAGCAGAGGAGTTATGGATCATTCTGTAAACATGGCAGCTGAGTTGTTTTGGAGGTTGTGATAGTAAATGTCCAGCAGTACAAGCATTAAACAAACTCCCTCTGTGATATCGCAGCGTAATAATTGTGCTGTCATTGAATGAATTAACTAACTTTGTAAGTTGTACATGTGAACATAAGTAACTGTTCCTTGAAGTTGTTCCAACTCTTATCCAAGGTTTCTTCAGTCCTAACTGACCCAAGGGAGGTTTACCTTGTGACCTAAGCCTGCAGTATTTATTAAACCTACCTTATTTATTGTGTAATGGTTCTTAGTAATGACTCACCAAGTGATTCACTCTCAACCTAGAATTAAAGAAATTACCCAATTTTAATGTCAAGAAATACAATTCAAGACAAATTAACTTGAAATATAATGAATTGATAACTATTCAGATAAATATATATTAAAGTAAACATATCCAGTTCTATTTACACACACTCGCTGAGCATTTTATAAGGAACAACTGCTTATTCCTGAAAATATCCAATCTGACAATCCTGTGGCAGTGTGTTCATTTTCCTTATCAGAATGGAGAACAACGGATCTCATGACTCTGACCATGGCCTGATCCTTGGAGCTAGATGAGCTGTTTCGAGTATTTCTCAAACTGCTGATCTCCTCAGATTTTCTCCCACACAACCGTTTCTAGAGTTTTTACTCAGAATGGGGCTGAAAAACAAAAAAACATCCATTGAGCGGCAGTCCTGTGACTGGAAACGCCTTGCTGAAGAGAGAGGTCAAAGGAGAATGGTCAGACAGCAGAAATCCTCTGTCAGCCAAAAACTGAAATCTGAAGCTGCAGTGAGACAGATTCCCCAAACACTGGACAGCTGAGGACTAGAAAAACGTAGCCTGGCCTGACGAATCTGGATTTCTGCTGAGGTGGAAGGAGATGGGAACAGAATCTGGAGTCAACAGAATGAAGCCATGGAGTCAGCCTGCCTTATGTAACAGTCCAGGCTGTAGCCACAGGAGTAATGTGGGGGGAAAGGCTTACTTATCACACTTTGGGCCCTCAATAAAAAAATCAATCGGCTTTAGTGCCACAGTCTGAGTGTTGTTGCTGACCACGTCGGTCCCTTTATGGCCACAGTTTCTCATGTCATCATGGAGTAGAACAGTAAAGCAGGAGTGAGTCCAATAGTTTGTAAAATTCATGTCACAAAGATTTGAGGCTGTCCTGAGAGGAATGTGAGGAACTATCCAGTATTAGTATGATGTTCCAAATAAAGTGCTCAGTGAGTATCCACTACAGACATTACTTCATAGACATAACAGATGTATCGTATACCTCATTTGATTCTTTAGCCATTGGTGTATGCAGATCATCTTTAACATCAGAACCAACATGCTCCTGGGGAAATTTTGAGAAAATTGTGTATCAATTTAAAATATATTAAATATGTTTACAGTTAATGTTCTCAAATAATGTCTCGTTTCAATCAAGTCAAAAATAAAATTCACTGAGGTCACACCAAACCTGAAACCTCATAGAAAAGACAAAGCAGATGCATACACTCGGTGGAAACTCACTGGGATGCATTCTAACACGCTCTTTTCAGTCAAGCTGATGACATCCTCTTCCATTTCCCTTGTGGGTTCGTCATCATCACTTGGCTCATGTGGATCTGCAGTGCAAAGGGACAAAAGTCAAATCAAGTTCAAACTAGTTTGACATGACACAATTCATCTGAAAGTATTTGCTCCGCTCGTCCTTAGTCGCCTCACTTTGGTGGAAGATAACAGGTGAGCCCACAGACGTCCTGACATTGCCCTCTGCTGGATCATGAGGCAAACTACTTCAGGCAGTCTAATGTGCTTCTAGACTGTATATTTATATTGAATTCAAACAGGTCATTACAGTAAGAATGTGAACTTTTCCCCCACGTTCCATTGAATGTTTGAATTTTGGATAAAAAGTGACAGCCTTAACACACACACATATACAAGAGAACATTACAAAAAGCCTGAATGGTGTCTACTAAAGTAATTTAAAGCCTGAGACGATGTCAGCAAACCTGAATCTGTGTCCTCATGAGGAGTTAAGGTCTGGTCTTCAGTCATCGAGTCAATCTAAAACAGATCAGATCATCAATCACTGACCTGAAGGCATCATCTGATTCACAATGTTGATGATGTAATGTAAACTGTCTGATGAAGGTTATGAATTTAGTGATGCAGAGTAACAAGTCCAGTTTACACATAAGAAAAGTAGTGTTGGTAAACCTTCATTCAGGAACTGAATTTCCCCAACATTACCTCGAAACCTGGGGCAATGCATGGAGCCTCTATGACATCACCTCCAGCTGCAATTTCCTGCTCTGTGGGAGCAACTATGAAGACAAGAACAATCACACATACACAGTCTTCCGCTATTCTTTGTGACATCACAACAATCAAACTGACGATCACATGGATTTAGTCATTAACCGATGTTGTCGGATCATGAATCTGGATCCTTCCAGTCACTATAACACTGATGTCCTGGCTCACATTATGTCTTGTGTTGTGTGTGGCAGGTGAACTACGTGTAAGTACAGGATAACAGTATTTTATTTTTAGAACCCTCTCATCTCACGTAGTACGTTTGCCTCGCATCTCTCCCCATTAACAACACTCCCAAAATCTCTAGAGTGCTGTGTGATTGTAAATTGGAACCACTCACCACACAAAAGCTTAGCAGGAAGCAGAGGGGAGGGCAGCAACAATTCAGTCTGAATCTGTGAGAAGACAAACACACTGTTAAATGGTAAATGGAATAAATATATAACGCTCACTAGTCTTAAGGGCCACTCAAAGTACTTAACACTTCAAGTTACTTTTGCCCACTCACACAAATATTCATATGGATCTTCTCTACATAGAGCGTTTCTGTAACACACACTGACAGTACATCATTAGGGGCAATTTCAAGCATCATATGTAATTCGACACAAGGAGAGAAGCTCGGGATCAAACCACCAACCTTCCAATTAGACCCGCTCTACCTACTGTCCACTTATAAGAAAGAATATAACAGTTTTGTGGAATGACTTTGACACACAGAGAACCTAAAACTTTAGAGACAACTGCTTTGTTTAGAGATGAGGAAAAGCTCAACACTTTGAATCTCAGCAAAGCCACACCCATATGCATTCACATTTCTCCGTTATTATATATATTGATGAGTGACATAAACATGTACCTGCTCCAAGTCTGTGGAAAACAGATCAATCATCTCGTGCTGATAAAAGCTCTTCCTGGGAAAAACAGCTTCACGTGGAACCTTCACAAAAAAAGAATACATTAGACAAGTCCATCTCCCAAGACGCAAAATGAAATAACAGAAAAGTCAATATCTTCACATGCAGAATATAAACACGTCACTGTAACACAATTTACCATTTTCACTGTTGACCGGCTGGGAAGAGAAACGTCACTTGGGATAGGAGTCTTGCTGTCATTTCTGTCATTTGCTAAATCTTAAGAGAACGAAAAACATTTTTTTAATTAGTAGATTCATACAATCATTACTCATAACAAGTTACACCCAGCTGTGATATGACCTGATAAGCTCAGAGTACAAAAATCTTTCCATATTAACATTTCCATAAACTAAATATCCAGACACTAAAGTGAAATGAATGTGTTGCTTACCAAAGTCAATCATGGAGTGAAAGCTGCTTCCCATGTTGTAGGTACTCATTTCTGCAGCTGAAGACTCCAGGTCTGTCAGAATCTCAGAACTGTCCATGGCCTCCTCTCGGTTCCAATCCAGTGGAGAACTCACGTCATCTGGTCCGACAGTGTCCGTTACTGAAGCTACCTCCTCTTCAGAGGCTTTGTCAGTTTCAAACTCATCCTCGTCACAGTTCAACATCAAATGACTTTGGTCAGAATGTGCAGGTGACAGGATTTCTTCTCTATGCTCTCTCTCAGGGTGAATGCAAACATCTGGATCTGTTTCCTGGTTTTCGGGATACTCTGTTTGATCCTCAGGTTGTGCGGCCTCTTTCACACTTGAGTCACATTGTTCACCTGCATTGGGTTTGTCATCTGTGGTGGAGCATTTCCACCAGTTTTTCATCATCTCATTTATCACCTGGCCGTCACATTCCATCTGCACCACGTATTTAATGCTTTCTTCGTCTCTGGTGACTCTGGTGACAGTCAGCTGAAACAACTGGTCTGTTGTAAGTGTGAACAGCTCATCTACTGCGCCACTGTCCCAAGATCCACATGAAGAATCAAAGCCTTCAAGCTCGCACAAAAATGCCTGTGGAGGAGCCTCCACTAAATGAGGGGGCATTTCCCTCACATCTGTAACATTGACTTGGGACTTGTTTCCATAGTCTATGAAGAGAACAGACAGCTTGTCTCCCTCCATGTCGATGACCTTCGCACGGTACCAGAGACGATCTTCTGAAAAGAGAACGATGCATGGGCAGCCAGGGGAGAGGGCGTCTGGGTCAACATGTCTGTGATCGGCTGCATTCCCAACTTCTGAGACACCGGATGTTATCTTGTCCAGTTCTTCTGTGTCAGCAGATTGACACCAAAAGGAAAGAGCATCATTTATAGTTGTGATGTAGCTCTGTAACTGCTGTTCCTCTAAAAACTCTAGTTGACCGTAATGCAGAGGGCAAGAGTTCAGTGGCTGTTTCTCTGGGGTTGGGGCAGGTTTTTCCTCAACTTCTTCATGGTTCTCTGAGGCAAATTCAGAAGCATTGGCTGAACTCTTTGTCGAGACTTCACATGTGAGATTCACACCATTTTCCTCCAGACTGACTTCCCACACACGTCCTGACTGCCTGATAAACCGGCACTTGAGCTTCTTTTCTCCATCGCATACAGCCCCTTTGAAAGCTGCCAGCACTTTAGGATCAAGCATGTCCTCTTTTCCAACATTGCTCAGCATGCAGTGTGTGCTGTACATGGGCAGCAGCAAGAAAGACTGATGGAGTCTGCCCATCTTGGACATTTGTGTAACTGCGGTGTTTCCAAAATCAATAAACTCAACCAGAGCCTTTGTGTTGTTGTGGATTTCTTTTACAACTGCACGATACCACATGGAGTCATCTGCAAACTCTGCTTGAACAACATCACCTGGATTCACATCTTTGATGGCATTGGTTTTTGGGTTTGATACGGAATCATTGAGCTTTTCAGAAATCCAGAAGATTTCATCCTCGTCCCTGACGAGTTGAACATGAAAACTTGATGGGCTGTTGTAGTGTGAGACATAAACATCTGCTTCCATGTCTGGTGTGATACACTTTGAGGGCAGATCTGCAAGTGTAGGAAGTTTTTCAACATGGCCTCCTATCTGAGAGTCTGCACCAGGTGATTTGAACTTGATCAGCGGGTCAGTGGGGAGATTTTCCTCTCTTGGTCTGACTTTTGCACCAGCAGGCTCATAAACATTTCCCATATTTCTCAGTGTGGTCTCAAATGACTGTCTTTGGTGAGGAGGTTTGTACAGCTGTATCGGAACAGCCTTGACCTTCTGACCATTTTCATCAACATGGCGCAAAGGCTTTGGTGCAGTCTGCAGATTTGTGTTGGCAGATTTAGACTCATCTCTGATTTGAGTCACTGTTTTGGGGGCAGAGAGCTGTTTTGGGACATCTTTTGGAAGCTTTAGCACATTTTTTGCCGGAGCGTCAAATGCTTTCCGGTAGACAAGACGCTTGTCTGTGTGCATCTCAATCTGAAACTTCTTCTTGATCTTTGAGTTAATCTGAGTGTTTCCTTGATACAGTTCAACCAGGAGTTTACCATCGGGTTCTCTGGCCACAACTACTGCTTGGAATTTACATTCTGTTGCACATGTCTCAAACCAGCTGTTTGCCTCACTTGGAACTTTGGTGGGGACATCTGACAGACCACACACAACTGCTTGCACTGGCACAGACATGATGTCATTAGCCTCTATAGGTACTGGAAGCAAGTCAGACTTATCCACCTCAATAGTGTCACCATAGTCCACAAAGTGAACCAGGATTGCTGGCTTTGTGGCCTGGATTTGACCCCTGTACCAGTGGCCATCAGTGTACTTGGCAAAGCACAAAGCTCTTATGATTGCTGGGAGCTTTACATTCTCCAGTTGATGGCAGAGACTGCTAACCTTCTTCTTGAGATCTTCCATCACATCAGTATTCCTCTCGAGCTGGCAGTAGAACTGATTGACATTGTTCACACATGTCACTGTGATCTGTTCTTCTGTGCCAGTTTTGACATTGTGCGTTGAGAAGTAGTATGAGTCCAGGCGAACCGATGGCTCGGAGACTTTCTTGGGAGGGGCACTTTTGACAAGGTTGACGATGCTGGTACAGACACTCTCAAAGGGAGTTTCCAGATCCACAATATTGAAAACAATCTTCTGGTCACTGTACATGACAGCATATATGGTGCACTTTAAAATCACCAAGTCGGATGCAGCAGTTTCCACAAAGTTGTGGAATCTTGCTGTTGCCTCCTGATTCCACTCATTGATGGCAGATGTGGGATCAATGGGGTTTAACAGACTGCATCGAAAGGCTTGACCAGGCATAGTGAGAAATTCTGGGCAGATCCTCCTCAGGTCATAGAGGGGGACGGTTTCTGTCTGGCCATAATCAACAAACAACACATCCACGAGAGGTTTTTCATGTCTGTGAATTACAATGGCCCTGTACCACATTCCATTATCAGGGTGGCGAGCAACACAAGCCATTTCGACAACAGGCTGAAATTCCCTGCCTGCATAATGAGCCTGTATATCGTGCATTAGCAATTTCAAGTGCCCTGCATTGTGCACGAGCTGGCACCAGAAATCATTTGGGCTTTTGACGTGGGACACAGAGACATCTAGGACACTCCCAATGGGAAACATGTGCTCCTTGAATGTAGGGATTCTCCTTTCGTTGATGGCAAGGCTGACAGTGTTTTGTGCCTTGAGACATATCCCCTTGTTCCCATACACATCGGCAAGTCTGTCATGTGGATCTTGTGTGGGAGGCAGGATAGCAGGTTGTATAGTGACATTGGCTTTGGGTTGTCTCTGTGTCTCAGCCTTTTCAGTAAGGTTATAAGTACACATCAGTGAACTGAGGTCTCTGTCTTCATGAGCTTCAGGATCTGTTAGTTGAACAACATAGACATCATCATATTTTGCTTTCACATGGACATTTAGTGCTTTATCTGTGACTGCTTTGATGAAATATTCAGAGGCACATGGACTCCATCTCCCATCTTTGGGTCTGACATCAGCCAGGGTGCATTTCAGTGCAAGTCTCGGCAGCTTTTTAAACTCGCCAGGAAGGGTCCTGATGTTCATCCTTTTAACGACTTCAGTGTTTCCATAATCGACAAAGAACACCTTGACTTGTGTCTCCCCAACTTCAGACACAATTGCTCTGTAGAAGACACCGTCTTCAGCCTTGGCAGCGCAGTACAACCCTACAGTTGGATTCATCACATCTTTGTTTTCTGAGTCTTTGTGCAAATGATAGATCCTATCCATCAGTTCATTCAGCTCATTAGTGTAGTTCTGTGTTTGGATCCAAAACTCTGATGGGTTTGATACATGCTGAACAACTGCAACATGGGAAGAGTTCAGGGAGAGGTTTTCTGCAGGTAACTTCTCAGCTATTCCTTTCCATTCTTTTTCCTCTGCAGCCTTTGTAGAAGTTGACGTCTTTCTTTGACATCTTTCTTGCTGGGCTTGATGCTCACGGTTGTACGCAGGGCTACGGATAGCATAATCTCCAAGTGTTTTCTCACATTCCAGCAAACAGCTCTCCTTGGACCCAAACAACTTGTTGATGTTTGTATTTTCATCACCAAATAGAGTGACATAGTTCACACCCTCAGACACGCTCTGGTACTCAAATTTTGCAATTACAGTCTTGTGCAGAAGAAGGTTCCTGAGAAGGTCAATCTGGTTGGATGTCCATCCGACCCCTTTGTCAACGATTCCATGGAGGGAACAGATGTAAGTCACAACAGGCATCCTGAAGAATTCTGAAGCCAGTGGTCCCACATTCTCCACTTGAACAAACTGTTTTGTTCCATAGTCAATGTTCAACACTTCCACCACTCCATTGGCAGGGAAAACCTGTTGGAGAACCGAGCGATGCCATCTGCCATCATTTCCTCTTGCAGCACAGGGAAAACTAATCATTTCTGGACCCACAGTGCAATTGGTCATTCTGCCCTCACAGAATTTTGTGATTTTCTCTGAGAGTTTCTTTAGCTCTTGTGAGAAGACCTTCAACTGGCAAAAAATCCTCTGTGGACTTGTCACTTCTGTGACAATGACGGCCTCCACAGTTCCTGCAGGAAGCTCTGGGACCATGAAAAAATCTTGCGTGTGCAATCGCACACCTGCTCCTATGGAGGTCTGGTGAGTCTCTGCAGACACTTGCACAGCGTTATTGGACTTTAGTGACAAGAGCACAAATTCCTGGAACACATCTGGAGACAACTTCTTGGCAAATCCCATCTCATACATTTGTTTGGATATACAGGGGATGTCCAAGAGAAATGTTCTGTAGGCCACCAGCACATCTTGCACACGTGCTTTCAAAGACTTCCCAGAGAGAGATCTCAGAAACTCGAGAGCCACTGGCGACCATCTGCTCTCAGTTGAGAGAGGTAACACATTAGCTAACACACAAAACTCCACTTCAGGTGGAAGGTGGAAGTGCTTCTTCTTACCCCATTTCAGCTTACTTGTAGTGGTGCAAGACGACACCCCTTTGTCAATGAGAAACACACTGTATTTTGAGCCATTTCTAGAGACTATGCGGGCCCTGTTCCAAATACCATCTATCTGGACCAAGCACTGGTCACCGGGACTTCCTTCAAACTCTTGAAATGTGTTTTCAGGGGACTGAATGTCTTCAGCCAGGCACTCATAATCTTCTGTGCTCTCCTGACCGAACTTTCCCCAGAACTCTACAAGCACACAAAGGGGATGCAAGTGGACCCTGGTTATGAGAATTGTTACATCTGATCCACGTACAGGGAGTCCAAGTGTTGGTGACATTTTGGCAGTTTCATGAATTCCAGCTACCCATGATCTGTCACCTCTCTCTTCACTGCAGTGAAAGCACTGGGTGTTATCTGAAAAACACACAAACACATACCTTAAAACACAGGCCTCCATTCCAATTAACGTGGTTTTCAGAGACATTACTGGTGTGACAGCTCAATTCTCAAAAATGAACGAATCATTATGAAATTAAAACACGCAACAACAATAGTGCTTACAAATTTAGCAGAAGATGACAAATAAAATATAATCCCTTCATTGTTTAAACACAAACAACTTTAAAAATTTAATTAATGTCTTTCAAGCACATGATCATAGGGCTGGGCAATTTGGCCAAAATAAATAAAAATGTCCACATTAGTCAATATAGGTTATTCACAATAAATGTCCAATTTTGTTATATTGCTGATGAGAATTATTGGGATGATTACTGATCATTGTATTGCCCAGCCCTACATGACCATAAATATTTTGTACCGTGCAAAGTCCATCACAGGCATGTGTAATTGATTGATGACTTTTTACCAAACACAGATGAGTCTGTAATATAGTGTAAATCACAGTCACTAATTGTCCACTGTTAATGTGATCTAGCTCATGCACTCTATCAATGTCCACCTCAGATTTTACATCATCGGAATGACAACAGCACAAAAACGTGATCTTCATCATTAGTGGCTCCACAAACACAATACTTCTGATATAATATTTTCGGTGAACACGGTAAAACACAATGAGCCATAATTAAACACGTGTAAGATCAGTTCAATACGAAGAATAGAAGGAAGTTAAACCACAAGTCGCGAGAACAGGGAATCTAATAACAAGATGGAACGTTATGTTTTCAATGGTTTAATGGATGAAACCCATTCATGGTAACGGATCTGACTGCGGTCAAGTGAGCAGACGTTTGTCTTTTCCTGATTTCCGACGGAGGTTGATGCACTTGATCTCAGGACCATCCTGACTGTTTAATCTTTCAGTATCAAGCATATTTACTGTTTCATTTTGGAGAAATTCAGCCTCAAAGTTCCTTTTTTTAGTTGAAAGAGGCATTATGTGTGTAAGAGGCTTTACAGTAGAGTAAATAAAGAGCATAATGCCTTTTTTTAATGCAAAAGAAGGAACTTAGAGGCTGAATTGCTCCAAAATGAAACAGTAAATATGCTTGATACTGAGTGAGTGAACAGTCAGGATGATCCTGAGGACAACTTTTGACAACATTTTTCTGAAATTATGGAATAAAGGGATTTTACAGTAGCATAAAGATCGGCTCGCTCCATATCATGGACTACCTGCATTAGCCATACATCCTGTAATACGGGCGCACTTAGAGAAAAAGACAATCGTCTGCTCATTTGACCGCAGTGGGATCTGACACATTCAGCTTTTCACTAAGATTCGTTGAAATTAACTGATCAGCCAAACGATCCGGACATTTATCTTCTCATCATGAACAAGTACGATCCATGTCCCTGCTTCCTCAGATTCAGACGTGGATTAGCAGCTGCTAAGCGTTAGCTTCTGGGCACCGCACCCATTAGCATCCTGCAATAAAATAGCAACAGGTGCTACATGACCAGCGGACGGACCAGCACGATGACCGTGACTCGGCGGTGAAGCACAGCCACTCACCTTGTTTCAAATCCTGCTGCTCCTGGAGTGTCCTCAAAGCCCGCGATGATGGCGGCGGTGGTCAGGTTAAATACCCCCCGGGTCACCGGTTCAACGTCAGCCCGACCTGACCTCACCTCGACCGCGCGAACTTCAGTCCTCTTCCTGTGTTCACGTGTCACGTCCACCGCTCGACTGCCTCCGAGACCATTGTCCCGAAATACAAAGAGAGACTCCGCAGCAACCCGACGTTGGTTAGTTGTTAGTAAGTTGTTAGGCAGATGGTTGGTTAGTCAATTAGCGGCTAACGTTAGCTAGCCCCGAAACCACGCGCGTGCAGCCACCTCTCAACGGTTTCCGCCGTTTCCTCATGCAGCCGGAAGTGGCGCTGTTTCCTTACTTTACTTTATTTCACGCAACATCAACACAAACTGTCACATGTTAGTGAAGACAGACTGATAACTATGAGTAAAGACTATAACCACATAATAACAAGAGACAGTACACTCCGCTGTCTTACTTTATTGCACTCAACATAAATATTAGATTAGATTAGATTCAACTTTATTGTCATGGCACATGTCACAAGTACAAAGCAATGAAATGCAGTTTGCATCCAACCAGAAGTGCTTAAACAATGAATAAATAAATGGTACAGTATGCTTAAGTATATGTATATGCTAAACAGTGAATACATATATATGTTGCAGTTATAAGAAGCAGCAGATGTGTCTCTAAGTCACCATGGACTGTGTTTAGTGGAGTAAATAATGACAGAGATATAATACCCACATTTCTCTGCTGACAAAAGAAGAACATTTCAAATTAGCCTTGAAATCCTGACCTGAAGGTGTTGATCAATACTGTGACCATGCAGGTGAAAACTCCCTGTCCATATTTAACTTACTTATATTCATCGCTGTGACACATCTGACAGCGATGATGACTGCGTCCATCAGGACTGTGCTGCTGTCGCCTGACGAGACATTCACATGGGCCAAAAAATCCATCTTCCATCATCCTTCCACCTCTCCTCCTGGAGCATGATGTTTAGTGGTGTTTGTGTAGATGATAAGATAGATAGATAGATAGATAGATAGATAGATAGATAGATAGATAGATAGATAGATAGATAGATAGATAGATAGATGGATAGATAGATATATAGATATATAGATAGATAGATAGATAGATAGAGAGATAGATAGATAGATAGATGGATAGATAGATAGATAGGCCACACTTTTATGCTTACATTTACAATATATGTATATACTGGATGGAGGTGGAGGATGCATATTAGTATTTTCAACACATGTTCATGAGCCGTCTCTTACTTCCACCTTCGCAAATGAATTTCAGCAAGATGCTCGACCCGTGAGGAAAAGCACAGGTGAGTGCAGGATGATGGAAAGGCAGTGAGCAAGTGTGCACCTGAACCTGAACTTGAGACAGCTAGAGGGAATTCAGTTGTCAGCCATTCATTTTGTTACTTACACCTTTTTCCTGCTTGAATGGAAGATAAATAAAAAATAATTTTCGTGGTAGATTGTCGGAATTAAAGATTGTGTGTATTGCTCATGTAAGTCAGACAGTGTGAGTTAGTGTGGGATGTTTTTAATTAATTAATTAATCATTAATCACATTTTTATTTGTGTTCAAACTTGTCGCCTGAGGAAGTGGCCTCCTCTGTAGGTCTGCATTGACCCACTAGGTGGCAGCACCGCGCTGCATTTGTGTTCGGTCGCGTAGTCGGAAGCAGGAAGTGCGTCACAGCCCGGCGACCGACCGCAGTTCCCCCATTTTGACGTTCGCAGTGAAGAATCAGGAAAGTGTTTGTTCGTGGTTCCGTCTGTTAGTCGACTCTTTGAGGATTTCACCATGGCTATGCAAGCAGCGAAACGCGCTAATGTAAGTCCACGCCAGTCGAGCTGGTTTATCCTGTCACGAGAATAACTGAGGGACTCACAGTGGTGCGGCTAAGAGCTAGCGTTAGCATGCGGATAGCCAGTTAGCACGCTAACAAACTGTAAACAACCACATGGGCTTTTTAAAGCTTTTTATTTGGGCGAATTTGAATTGACAGTGTAGTTAACATGCAGTACTGCACATTGGGATGAGTTCATCTGGTCCAGATGTGACCTGAAGCTTTGTTTGAGAAATGTGGCGACACGGCCGCACATGTAAACAGAGGAACTTAGGTTAGTCGAAGATGATCTTGTGTTTACTTCTTCTAGGCATTACCTGATCTAACCCCGGGCTGGTGATATGATCAATAGTCAGGAACAGAATTTACAAGAGTTAATCTCTGAAAGAACAGATTCAAATGAACAAGGATAGTTTTGGCCTTTATCACATAGCAGATAAGATGGAGTTTGAAGTGTTAGATGAAGAAACAGTGAACGTATTCCTTAAGTGTGACATGATCTTCAAGATGATTTCTTATCTTGACGTCTGATTGCAAATTCATTTAACATGCGTATTTAATGTTTCTGACTCAACAACTACCGTATCTAACAAAGTCTTTTTTTCTTTATTTTCTGCAGATTCGATTACCTCCTGAGGTGAACAGAATCCTGTACATCAGGAACCTTCCTTACAAGATCACAGCTGAGGAAATGTACGATATCTTTGGGAAATATGGACCGATACGGCAAATCAGAACGTAAGTGTTTATAACCTGTATAATCCCCAAATGACACACGTCTATACACTTCATTTGAGCATACAGATGTGAAGGTGGCAGCAGCATCCCCCACAGTTGAACGACGGGAAACAAAAGCATGAAGTCTGATCTATCTCTTAATATCTGAGTTTCTAAGCGTGACTCAAAGGAATCCTCAGGTTTAGAACTGAGTATGACATTGGCATTTATTTATTAAAATCACGTGCACTATATGAAAACTGTTTTACGGAATAAATGATGCAGAAAATATATCCACACTCTTAATCACTACTTGTTTATTTTGTGTTTGCTCCATCTGCTCAGAGGGAACACACCTGAATCAAGAGGAACAGCCTATGTGGTGTATGAAGACATCTTTGATGCCAAGAACGCCTGTGACCATCTGTCTGGCTTCAACGTCTGCAACCGTTACCTGGTGGTTCTCTACTACAATGCAAACAGAGTATGTATGAGCCCAACAGTGTCTGTGTGGATACAGTCTGATCACATCGGGATATTGTTTAGGAAATGTCTGACAGTTATTATATTTGGAATGGTGATATCGCAGGCTTTAAAAATGTATCTTGTCTTCTGTTTTACCAACTCTTTCCAGGCTTTCCAGAAGATGGACACAAAGAAGAAAGAGGAGCAGTTGAAGCTTCTAAAAGAGAAATACGGCATCAACACAGACCCTCCAAAGTAGCATTCTGTGGAGTGTCCCTGTCCTCTTTCCAGTATCCAGGAAATTCCCAGATCTTGTTTCTTTTCTTTACAAACGTATGTTGTGTCAGGGCACCGAGTTGTGTTCCAGTCGCAAACAATGATATTTCTCACAACCCAGTTGTCACTTTTTTTTTTAAATTTTGATTTTACTGTCAAAGCAATCAACAGACTCTTCAGCATCAAATAAGTTTGACCAGGATTCAGATCAGTGACTGGACTAATTATTTACCCGGGGTAACTTGATTTTCATTTACGTTTTTTTTCAGTCTATTTTTCTGTAAACTAATTTTAAAGCCTGCGATGTGACTTAAATTTGAGTTGATCAGATATGATGATGTGAAGTGTAAGGTTTCTGTAAAATAAATGTTCCTTTGCTAAAAGCTCTCCTCTCTCCTCTTTCTGTAGCTGTAATGTAGTGGAAGCGCTATCCTCTGAATGAACCCTTTTAGATCAATAGACAAAGCATCTCCCACATTTGCACAGTGGTTAGACAGTCAACCAATTTTTTAAGTTGGCCTGAAGCTTTAAACAGCGTGTGAAGTTGCAGTCTCTGGGACTTTAGTTCAGAGTTTTCTGGGTATTCGTGTGTGAGGACACAAGCCTCCGCATGAACCCTGTGCTTTCTGAGGTTTTTCACCAAAGAGTCATGAGTAAACATCACAGGCTTTCTCAGTCTTTTCTGTTGTTAAATGTCTTTGCTTCGAAAACCAACCTTCTATCTCTTAATGCTTTAGTCATTCAGTGTAAACCTGCCTGAAAAACAAACATCTTATGCAAATATGGAGAAAACATTTACACCACCGTTTTAGAAAGTAAAACATCAGCAGGGACACCTAGTGGTTAGGCAGGAACATTACTTCAGGATTGTTTTATCCAGTGAGAGAGTGGAGCATCACTAATGCCAGAGAGTCAATATATCTTTCTGCTGCCTTGTGAGACAAGATAAGTTTTAGTGCAATAAAAACATATTCCAGACTGAATGTTTACCATCTTCTCTTCAAGTTCAGTAGTTTCCCAAAGTGTCAAACGGGTGTCCTCTACCTGTAATGTCAGGACGGGGAACTGTTTGAACCCCATGGTAACTAACAGTAACCCCTGAGGTCAGCGGTGAAAGAAGTACTCAGATTCTTCAATTATGTGAAAGTAGTAAAACAAAATGTAAATCAGCTGCTGGTAAAAAGCCCCCTGTTGTGTCACTAAGGTAAAAGTACCTCATCAGCTAAATGTGTTTATAAGCATCAAAAGGAGAGCTGAAGTAATTAGCTGATCAAGTGAAAATGAAGCAGCATTTTTTAAGTAGAATTCTGAAAATGTCCCCTATGGCTTTAAAAACTAGTGGTTAACATTTAAGACAGTTTATAAACCAGTTATATAATCATTTAGAAATCAATTAGCAGACTCATCGCTGCTCTAATCAATGAAAAAGTACTTATTATGCAGAGTGATGCTCAAGTTGGATTTGCATTATCAACTGCATTAAAGGAGCAGGTTTAGTGCTGCAGCTGAAAGTGGAACTAGTTTCAACTGATTTAAAACCGGTTAGTTTAATCTATGAAGGAATCAAACTTAATGATTCCATGCGTTCGAATGGAAAAATTCCCTGTATTTACTTGTTATAAAGGGATAAACTGCACCATATTTTCCTCTAAAATGCAAAGTGATACAAAATGGTAATTAAAGGAAAATACTTCCAAGTTTTGTTTACACTACTGAAGTGAATGTATTTCCACTGTGGGAGTGACATTGTTGTTTAAATCTGTCAGCCAAGACTTTAAACACAGTCGAGGTCAGTAATTCGCAGCCGGGGGTGAATACTACAGCTTAACACTTTGGTTGGCTGCAGAACGTACAGTGAAACACTAACATCCAGGCCGACTGCAAAGATCTCTGCTGACCTTCCTTCAAGTCAGACGTTGCCATAGAGACTGGGTGGAAAGTAGCCAGCAAAGCGAAGCAGAAAAAAGACTATCATAAAAATGTGGTTGGAAAAGTGATGCAGTTAAAACCGTTACGTTTTAATAGTATATGAAAAATGATTGGCGTTTTTTATTTGGTGGAATACGACATAAGTACGACATGATGAGACCGACCCTGCACTACAAGGAGGTGACAGAATTACCACATGGGGGAAACATTGGATAGAATAAACAGAGTGATGGCAACAGGAGAAAAAGAAAGAAGGAAAGTAAATGTATTAAAGTGGATGACCCGTTTTGTTTTTCCTCCTCTTCCCTATTCTTCTTTTTCCCTTTTCTCTTGCCGTGTCCCAGGTTAGCTGATTTTCTTACGTCTACTATTATATCATTATTCTTCTTCAACTTGATTATTCCAGATTTTCAGATCATTTTCAGTGCTTCACAATATCGTAAGTTTGACTGTTGCCGACTACAATCTACATGTGACGTTGCTCGGAGAGGCGGTTTTGTTTGAGTCACCAGACCAGACCAGAGCCCATAGAGTTCCTTTTATTAGAGTAAATCACAACACAGGGAGTAGTGCAGCCATGTCGTCAGGGACACAATACATGCTACAAAAGAATCCTTGTACACGGTTGCCTTCGCTTACATTTGGTATCTTGATAGCAACAGTAGTAACTGCAGGTTTTGTAATTAGAAACGTTGTGTTTTGCCAAAGATGCTCATGTAAAGAAGTTCAGAATACAAAGTTGACAGGAGACAAGCCACACTGCTGAGAGAGAAGACGATGGAGTGGTTTGCTAGGGTCTTTATTGCAACGCTGTCTTATGATGATACTTCATATCTCCTTTAGCTCTTAGAACACTGATTGCAATATGCAGGTTTGGAGAGAGAGTGTGTGTGTGTGTGTGTGTGGGGGGGGGGGGGTTCAGAGGTCATTTCTGAATCCTTTCTAAGGAGGTTCCACTCCTCGCTGAACTTCCCTACGTTAAGCCTCCGTCAGTTCATGTACCACGTGTGAGCGACAGGAGTAAAAAAGTACAAAAAGATCGACTGATAGAGAGAAATACTTGAAGAAAGGTCGGGGGGAGGGAGGAGGAGGAGGAAGAGGAGAGGAGGGGGCGGATAGTTCAACCTACTTAACACATGGCTTTACAGTAAGGGCTGTCCTCTAGTAGCTACAGTGTGTTCTAATGAAACGCCATTCACTGCTCCTCTCACTACTTTCATTTACTTCCACTGAAAAAAACGACAGAACAATAGAGGTTGAAAAACGGGCTGCTCTTCTCTCAGAGTGGAAAAGGATTCATCACGTTGATATGCAGCCTGCAGGCTTATCGGGAAAACAAAAGAAATAAAGTGGATGTGATGGTGACATATGACTAAGTTTGATAACAATGCTCTCCGACTACAGATGAACACTTTTACTTCTTTCTGATTTGATGTGACTCTAGCTATGAGAGAAGCTTCGGTCACTCTCCAGGGAATCCTGATTTCAATGTTTGATCTCACGAGCCTCCAGTCTAATGCATCACATTAGCTCTTTTTTGAAAAATCCTGTTTTCGTCTCTGATACTGATTCCTCCGCATTCCGCGTCTCCTAATTTGCAATGATAGTGTGTTTAAACACAGGGGCAGGGGTTTAGTTCTTAGCAACATATACCACACCTAAATCTACAAGGGAACATGCTCCCACAGTTAAAGCAAAAACGTCTCGACAGATCACAAGAGTTACATCCCATATGACGATACTTGTTGGATTTTTTTTACCCCCCGCCCTCCCTATTCGGTTAAACGTTGTTTACACTCCCCAGTGTTGCCGCGCTGCTTTGATAAGGCTTTCTGTCTTCGATTACAGGGTGCAGAATGAGGAGCTTTTTTTAAGGCAGAACCTAAAGGCATGCAAATTAACTACAGTTACGTTTTTTTTTTTTTTCTTACCGACAGTACAAGCATGTTTTAGAAGGAAAAGTGGGACGAACGTTAATCCATCTCGCCTAGAGCTAATATCAGAGACGATGGATAGAGTGTTGTCTCATTGGAGGCAGATACATTATCATAGGAATTTGGATCGGTTGACATTACTTGGTATTATGAAACACGTACAGCTAGCGTCAGTAAACTCGGAACAATAAATAGAGTAGCGTTAAATTCAACGAAGCACATCACTGATGCGCAAGCTCCAGTAAAATGAAACTGTATGGAAAATACTTTGCACACTTCACATTTTGGCAGTTGATCTTTTATTTGTGCGAGGTGTTAATGTGTCGTGACAGATTGTGTGTGTGTGTGTGTGTGTGTGTGTGTTTGCTGTTGGTGTATCTGTCTGTGGTGTAAGTGTGCATCCCGCACTCTTTCACCCCGCACACTCTTGTATGTTGTGTGTAGATCTTTTTATAGCAAATAACATTCTCATGCACACGAGTGTTTCAAACACAAGAAGCAGATCCATTGAAAGGTAGTCCAAGCATATAATTTTTTTTCAGTGGAAATAGCTGCAAACTGAATGGAACATGAAATTCTTTCTGTGCAGTCCGTGGCGGATGGCGGAGCACCCCGCTCGCCCCTTACAGCCTATTTCTGAAGGTCGCACTGCAGCAGTAGTACGATGGACGGGTCACTCTTGGCCGCCTCTTTGAATTCCTCCAGTGAGATCTGGTCGTCGTTGTTCTTATCCATCTTGGAGAAGATCTTGTCCACCCTCTGCTCGGGCGTCAGGCCATCCTCGTTCATTTTCATCATGATCACTGTGCCCACCATCTTGTAGATCGCCTGCAGGGGGAGAAAGAGGACAGAGGATTTTAAAAAAGGGATTAGGCACAAGTCTCTAACGCATCACTTGTGCTTTTTCCTGAGAAATATGAGGAAAAGGAATCAAGGAAACACAATTGTAGTGAAATGAGACATCCCCTTTTCTCTTAAACATTTTCTGAGGACACAGCACAGCTGGAACATCTGTCAGTCTGCAGGTGAGACCTGCTCTTAAGATAATGCAATGTACTGTTGACATCATAATTGAGTGCAAAGCAACTACAATGTGCACTTTCGATACTGCTTTTTTTGTATATTCTCATTTTATTGGATTATATCTACTTTCATATGACCAATGTCTCACGTGACGAACAGTGAAAGCTACAGTATATCTCCACAAGCCGTCTGTAAGACTTAGTTGAGGCAGTAAACAATAACACTGAGTCAGAACAAACACAGCCAAGCACCTCAGGATCAATGAAATGAATAAAATACATATGCAAAGTTAGTTTCAAGTTAAAGTACAGAATAGAAAAGTTAATGCACTTTTTGTATTTCTTTTTCATTGATGTCCTCCCACACAACAAAACTATGAACCTCAGCATGTTTCCTCTTGAGAACAGAAGGTAAGACTTATGGGCTTCACTGCTTCTTAAAATTGATCAATTATATCTACATGGACAAATATTCTGTCTGTCAAAGCAGTAATTCAAATAATTCTGTACCTGAAATGGAATTGATATACTTTCGACTAAAAACACAGTGATTTTAAGTGTTGATGTGAGTGAACACAGACGAAGCTGTAGACATGTAATTCTATCTGCTAAGTAATCTCTCTCTCTCTCTCTCTCTCTCTCTCTCTCTCTCTCTCTCTGACTCACTTACATGACAAAATCTGTCTGACCTGGATCCAGATCATGAGGAATGTAGGGAACTGGGATGAACCCACACAGTCAGGAACAGAGAGCAGGTTTCTGAGTTACCCCGAGCAACATGATCGTTCAGGAATAGTCAGTTCTAATCATGCACCTCTGCCTCTTGTTTAATATAATTTGTGCTTATGAATAATTAGTATCCTGTCAGGCCCTGCAGGCTCAGACTTCTGCTGTATAACCTTTAACTAAAAACAACAAAAAAGCGCTGTATCTTTGTGACTCAGCGGGGTGTACTGAAAATACTGCATGATATAAATGTTAGAACTATGGTCAATGAATGTGTAATTGTCACCAATTCATTCTTGAAATATTAACACAATAAATAATTGGTGCTTTTCAGTGAAGTATATGGATTTTTACTACAAACTGAAAACATTAAAAAACTCATGAATCCAATTTAATGCTCTCCCTCTCAGAGACATAAAATAGAGTGTGTATGTGAAATCAATACAGTTTTTTTGGTACAGCTTATTTAGTGTCGTATTTTTTGCCGTTTTACCTCGATGATCTCCAGCATCTCCACGCGTGTGATCTTGCCGTCTCCGTCCAGGTCGTACATGTTGAAGGCCCAGTTGAGTTTCTGCTCGAAGCTGCCTCGCGATGTGATGGACAACGCACAGATGAACTCTCTGAAGTCGATGGTGCCGTCGCCATTCTTGTCGAAGGTCCTGAAGGCGTGCTGGGCGAACTTAGATGCGTCACCGTAAGGGAAGAACTGGAATGATAAAAAAAAATAGGAGGGAAGTATAGTTTAGATCACACAATCTCTTTTGTACACATACAAATTCATGTAAAAATTTCACTTTCTTCCAATTTGTTCATCCTTGAGTCCAACTGAACATTTGTATCAAATTTGAAGGTGTTCTTGAGATATCATGGTTACAAGAATGGGACAGACAGACGGATGAATGGAAGGACAGTCTGACAACCAGAAAACATAATGCCTCTGGCCTCTGGTTGTTGCTGAGGTGGAGACATAGAAACACACAAATGGAATATCAATATTGTGTGAGCACTTAGTGCCAAAACAAACCTTATTTGCATTTAAGCACTAAAACCATCATGCAACCTGTGATCAGCTGAGTGCAGCCATTATCAGATTTTGCAAGATCATGTGGCAGTTTGCAATACAGTGATGAAGACACAATAAGGACAGATCAACATTGAAAATGCAGATGGACGTCCATTACCTGCAGTAATTAACTTTAATTTCCTCCTCCTCCAGTGCTTGTGAGTGCTTACGTTACCATCCATAATGTCGGGTGGCTTAAAACAAAACGTCTTGCAAATTTGACTCATGGTTGGTAACCCTGGGATAACCTGTCACTTCCAACCCTCTGCAGCCTCTCCTCAGAGATGCTTATGAAATTCTAAAACAGGCAACAACAATTACACTGTGCTCTTTATTGATCCCTGAAGGGAAGCTGTGTTTTCCCCGAGGCCCTTACACAGGAAGGTCAGGGTCGCCGACACAAAGCAGCCCCCGCAGCTGGTGGACAAACTTTCACACACTGAATGTGTCCTGACACATGTGACTTAAATATGAATCCTCCAGACACAGGCAGCATCTCTCTCTCACACAACTTCCCCGAACAATGGTCTGCTGTGTTTCTGCACAACCCCAAAATGTTCTTTGTTTACCACTTTGGGTTTGACTGGATCTTTTCAGGACATATTTTCACTGAGTTCAAATTTAATTCAACTCGTCAAATTTCACTTTCAAGAATTGTGATAACTGAATTTTATCTCGTGCCATCATCAGGTTAAAAAATCAGATTTGTCTAAAGTGACTTGAACATTTTGATTTTGATCTGTTTCTGTCCACAAGTCGACTGTACATGACTCAATCACTGCTATGGATGAGCTTAGTACTTCAAACTTAAAGCTCTGCTGCATACATCCCAGCGCCACATGCACAGAAGGTCAGAGGTTAACGCAGCAACTCTGTGGATGACGCTGAGCCCCAGCTCGGCTCATCATCCACTGTAGATGATGAACCCTGTGGGCGGCTGCGAGAAGCCGAGTGATTCATTAAATGTGACCTTTCACTTGACCTCCCTGATAAAAAAACTCTCAGAGCCGATGGGAAATCTAAGCTGAACTTCATCAAGGAAATGGAGCAAACAGGAACTGATATTCTCCTCTGTTATTATTTGAAGGGACATCTTGTAGTTTATTTTAAGCAGTTTTGTTGCTGATCCACAAAAAACAAACCAGATGCTCTCGAAATTCATGTTACCTATTTGGCTTTGTTTGCTCATGTTCAGTGAACACTACCAGCGTGACTTTGCTAAAACAAAGAGAATCAACTCAGAGGCCATAGAGCTGCTTCTTCATTTTAATATTTAATCAGCCGTCAAATGTCAAGTGATCCTGCTCGTGGTGACATTTGCAGAAGTAAAAGACAGAGAAGCAGCCGAGGGTGACCGCATTTTCAAAGGGAGGTCAGCTTTTATAAGTAAGGCCCTTAAAGGTTTAAGTGTGGTTATTGATTCCTGGTGACCAACTTTTGATCTAACATTGTGCTTGGCTTGACCAGTTCCTGCAATTTCTTTCTTTGTGATGTTTTACCTCAGGGGTATCAAACTCAATTTACCTGGAGGTAGAGTCTGGGCCGCATCAAGTACTCCACAAAAAAAGGGTTTCAGGTATTCCAAAACGTACAACTTATCCAATCTGCTCAATCTTTATGATGAACAGTTCTTCAACATGAACGGTTCTTCAGAATTGAATCACGTTTCAATCAAGTGACTAACGCTGCTAATTCGCTTTGGCTAACTTGACAACAAACAAAGACCACCTTAAGAATCTAAAGCTGTTTTCAGACATTAACTACCGAGTTTGCCTTTCACATAAAGAGGAGGAGATTCTCTGGTCAGATGCGTTCACAACAGAGAAATCTGGAACGTTCAGTTGAGGGGTGGAGCATGATGTAATGCATGAATTCTGGGGTGTCGATCATGTTTTCTTTATTTACAGCACAATACCCTTAACACCAAATCCTCTCGAATCACATTGTGTAAATAACTTCACATCTTCATCTTTGTCTTCAACATGGCACGTCTCTTTCATCCTGAGATATTGGTATTCAACGTGCCCACTCGCTCTTGGTGAATCCTCAGGAGACTCCAGAGGGTTTTTACCAACGGCCTGGCAGGGGAAACTCTAGAAAGTGTCTGCAGCAACTGATTTGTTATCTCACGTACAGCCTCTGTGGATAATTTCAGGAGCTTTTCCCAAGAGCAGTTTCTGAATGCTGCTTAGCTCCAATATTCTCTCTGCTTTTAGCTCTACTTTGGTTTCCACCAACTCCACAGGGAAACAACTATATATTATGTTTACCAGCTAATTGCTAACGTTGCTGTTAGACGCTGGGTAGGTAGAGCCTTTTCACTGTCCGTTGTGTTTATAAATGATGATGAGTGTAAATCAGAAATGAGGATTGTGGTCCTTTAAACCAAAACAATGAACTTTAAGACACTGAAAACCTCTGTAAAGCTGAGGGAGGCTGCAGAGTCAGGTGATCTGTGGGTTCATCACTAAGAGAAACCACTTATACATTACTCAAAAGTCATTTGAACCAATATTATTAGAAAATGTAAATGATAGCAACTTAATCTTAAAACGAGGCCAAGACTTTTAAAGCATCTGCCACACTCCCAAACACTACGCAATCAGAGGCACGTGTAGTTTTGTTTTAGGCTACAAGGCTGTTACATCTGGTTCTCGCCCATGTGCAGATCAGACAGGCTCTCTGCTGCCCCAGCTTCTCCTAAAAGTGCACGAGTCTTAAGTCACGAAAAGGGGAAGTCAAGACCGTGAATCCTATTGGGAATGGAGGGATGTGAACAGATTAGGAGGAAGACAAATGAAAACAGGAAGGAAAAGCTGACCAAAATACAAATGACAAAGTTTAATGGGGAGCGTGACAGCAATGGAGCACAGTTCCTCCCAATGCCACTCCTGATCTACCCTTCTGCTCTGGAGATGCCAAACTAATTTGAGGAGAGAACCCCCCTTGGGACAGGGGAGCTGGTGCGAATCTGCCCGGATGAACAGGATGCCGCCTTGGTGCTTTCTGCACGAATCTAATGTGGATTCCTTCCCGTGAGCGCTGGCTCGTGCCCCCGTATGGCCCTGCCTCAGCTCATCTGCCTTGGCCGGGGGGAAAAGGAAGAGGCACGAGGAGGGACGAGACAGCGTGGGAAGGAAGAGTTGAGGGGTGGGAGGAAGAAGGGAAAGTGTCAGGGAAGCAATGTGGGTGAGATGTTTAAGGGAAGAGAGGGAGGGCTAGAGAGAAAGCCACTGTTTGACAATCTGGCAAGTTGTGAAACACTGTTATGTAAAAACAGAGAGAAGAACGAAAGAGAGCAAGAAAGAAAGTAGGGCAGGGTGATGAGACTGTGAAATTTCCCCATCTGAGTTTCGTTGCTTCATCTCTCCCATCTGTCACACGGAAACGCATCGTCAGATGTCACAGAATTAGATGGAAACAAGCATCAACCACAGAGGAGGAATAACAAAACTTTCACTAGATGGCACACGATTACCATTCAACCACTAATATGACCCAGGCAGGACATGAAGCTTCTGTTTCCTCTCCTTCACAGCTACAGATATTAGGTCGTTAACATTTCCATCAAGTCTTATCCCTCCTCTGATTTGGCTCCTGTTTGCTGTTACGGCTGTTTGATATGGCTGTTTGGAGTCGGCCATCAAAGAACAGGATCAGCGCCAGATCGTTTCTGGGCCACTCATGGTAGAGCCAGGCGGACGGGCACAGCTGGCAGAATAAAAGCTAATGTTGCTGTGTTCATGTGTGTATTTGTGTGTGTGTCAGTATCCCCAACATCCACACACAACCCGAAAAACATGCTGCCGTAAATGGAACATTAAAGCTTTCATAATCGGCCTGCAAGCTGGCACCTGGTACTGATCCACGAACTGGAAGAGGGGGAGCCAGAGAGAGGGGAGGGAGAAAAAAGAGGACAGAAAAACCGGAAAAGAAAGAGAGCAAGAGAGGGAGTGGGAATAATAGTGTGAGAAATAGTGTGAAATAGAAAGACACGCTTAACGAGTCACACTTTAATGAAGGCCATTTCACACTTAACTGAACAGTGGCTGACTGCGAGATCATAGAGTGGATGAATATTACTGCTAAAAACACTGTGACACGGCACCAAGCGTCGGGTACAAGCGACAAACGACTGAGAATAACTTTGGAGTTGGGTAACGGCAGTGTCGGGTCAAGATTTGTGTGTAGTTGGCCGGCGTGTGCTGCCAGTTCCTCAGATAACAGTTAAGCTGTACAGACATCTTGCAGCTTAAAAAGCGTCCAGTGACGAGCTCGCAAGGGTTAGGATTTAAATGCAATAAAGATTTATTTACTTTATGCACATTCTGTAGTGTGGGAGCTGCATCTAAATGGATTACTGTTATCTGAGGACCCACAATATACATTATAGAAAGAAGTAAATGTAAGTAAGTGTAAATTAGTTTTTTAACCACTTTGGACCATTAACTAGTAATTACTTTTTACATTTAGTTTATCTGATAGTTCACTTAATCATTTAATTAACTCATTGTTTCCTTTCTTAAGTGTTATTGTCTCTACTTCGCAGAGCCGAGTGGTTTACGTACAGATTCAACGATTTGATCAGCAGCTAAAACACCTGAAGTCCACAAACAAGCTTATTTCTATGCTTCCAGCCATTT